AACGTAAACGTCACAATTTTTACACAGGATTTTATATTCAGTGTTATTATTTGAATCATTATCGTTAATGTCTTTTAATAAAATTGTTAAGTCTATTTAGACATCGACAACCAATCAAGAATTTATTCTTCTCGAGCGCTGATGTTACTATCTCTGACGCAATATGTAAGGAAACGCTACAATTTTTCTATCTGAGTTATTATGAGTTTCCGAATCTTCCTTGTTAAATCTGGTTGTAATTATTGTTTTTAATCTATTATTAATCTTCTCAAAAATTAGATTCAACGGATAACCATTACTAATTAACGTGTGTATCACAAATTCTAAATTTTGTTGTTGAAATATTGAATGTGACAACAAGACAGCTCTATCTACAAGACTGTATACTGTTCCATCTTATGACATGTGAGATGGTGAATAAAACGATAAATAATTCCCCGAGTATGTATCCTTGTGATACCAGTCTATGAAAATTCTATTATCGATAGTTTTCAGAAACACATCCAAGAAATTGATACATTGCTCATTTTCAATCTCCGTGAACTTAAAGCCTTTCATGGAAATTGTTAAACCTATTAAATAATTCATTTACCATATTACTAGATGTTATTAATAATTTGTCATATCGAACGTGTAGAGGTAAATCCGATATCATTAAATTGCATTAAGTGTTATGTTAGAAAATTAAAGAATATAGTTTTTAACACCTTGCGAATTGCTCATCTTTGGCCGTTGATTATTAATTATTATTGTATTACAATAACGAGCGAATTATAATTAATTTTTTTAATTATCTTTTATTATTATTATATCAATTATTTTAAAAATTACTGTAATATAATAACAATTGGAATTATTACCTCTTAAAATTTGCATAGTCATTCATGCATATAAGTAAATCCATGCATATAAGTAATGATAATTGGTATATTTTTAAGATAATAAATGAGTGAATGATAAATAAAAAATAAAAATTTCAGTTTAGTTAAAGACTAAATAAAAGAAGAAAATAAATGTGTAAGATTAAAAAGATTATAGAACTATTGTAATAAAATAATGACACGTATTTGTGATTTTTTAATGCAACTATTCAAATCTTAGTAAGATTTTCTATTGATACTGTGTAAAAGTAAAAAATTAATAATATGTACTGGTTCCAATGGATTATAAATTTACTTTATACATTACGTTTGAGCATCTATTAACTTGGAACAAAATATTATAATATTACACGGTACGGTATTGCACTGACGTTATGCACACAATCGTCAGATAGTGCGTGAAGTGCGCGACTATTGATGCGCTACATGTTTCTGTTTAATCGTAAACTATAATTGGCTAAATTTAAACTCTTATATCTCAAAAATTACTTAAAATAAAAATTTACAAATAACTTTTTTATTTAATTTTCCGAAGATTTTCTCGCTATGATATTTTGATTTGCGAATTTTGGAACACCCTGATTAAAATAAATTTTCCTTTATAAATGCCTGTATGAATCTGGGGTAGCCATAAACTAAACGGCTATGAAAAGTTGTTTTCTCTCTAATATTTGTTTTCTCCCTGAGAGTGTATTGCTAATTACTCGTAATCCTGGACCAATTAATTGTTGCTAAAATTATTTCCAAAACATTTTTGACTAATTAATTAAATAAAACTTTATATTTATATTAATTAAATAAAAAATTAAATTAATTAAAACACGTTATGACACAATGCAAGTGTCTGAAGTGCCTCGCGTCAGTCTCGGTCGTGCCGACCCTGACCGCGCGAATTCCACGCGCGTCCATTTGTGAACTTTAATAGCTTACGGTTACCTGGTGATACCTGGCGGTATCTCAATTCTGGGACACTCTGTATATGTATATAGTTAAAATTTTAATATTTCAATTTTGAACATTTTTTTAGATAAAAAATTTTTTAAAAGATGATGCTTTGTCGCTAAAATGCAAGAAATATTTACTGGACTATATATGTTTTATAAGTAATTTGTTCATAATTTCATAGTTCCCTAAAATATCCCAGTAAACGAAATGAATTGAAATGGATAAAAACGAATTCATTTTGACATTTTCCGAATTGGTGCTTCTGATTTTTAGAATCCATTTGAATCCACAAATAATATTATATGAATATAAATACAACAGATTTCAATATGCTGAATAGCTCATTTCGCATTTCAATTTATATAAATCCAAAAATAATATAATACAGACATAAATACATCCGAATTCAACATGATGAATAGCCCATTTTGTATTTTAATTTATTTGAATCCAAAAATAATGTAATAGGGACATAATGCATCTTTAAACTCTAAAGCGCAAATTTGGATAAATTAAAATAAATTGCAATTTTCTATTCTTTTATATTAATTTTCGTTTGCTGAATAATTAACAATTATATCATCGTAATTTACAGTTGTTCCGTGGATCAGCGTGAATAATATTAATATGTACACTGTAGTTTCGTATATCGTTTATTTATTTCGTATAAAATCGAAATGTTTGTGGCAATTACATTCGCAAATCGCGATCTGTCCCGCGATTTTTTGTATTATAGCGACACTTTGGGGTGATTCTCCGGGTTGACCGCGGCAGACAACAACGCCTATAAGGGGAATATGTCCCTGAGTTGGTGCGCGATCTTCGACAACGCCTTGGGGCTATTGTCCTGAGTCGCGAATTGCTCGGCAACGCACTCTTACCCGCTCGATCTGTCGCTTAAGCTCGCGAAATCTTCGGCGTCCGATAATTCCCGTCGCTATCGATTGAATGAAGGAAAATCTCCCTTTTTTCGACTGCGCTCGTTGCTCTCCTCACCGTTCGAGGTTCATCCTTATCGGCGCGGTCGCATCCCAGATTTTTCTTGTTTACAAAATGCTATTTTAAGCCGAAGTCGTCAGCGTCATAAGGTGTTTGACCGATATATGCTGCGTCGAGATCCCATGCAAGTCGTATATATATTTTGCGTAAAAGTTATCGAATCGTCCATGTTTTTCGTATTGTGTACGTTCAAATGCATTTACTATGTATACGCATGTGCATCGCATGTTTTATATGTTACGTATGTCATGCACAACTTTCGTCGTTACAACAGTATTTTTTAATTTAAATAATTTATTTTATGATAACAGAATGATGATGGGGAAAAGGCAGTAACAATGGGTATAAATGACCCAAATAAGTTTGTTTTCAGACCGCAAAGGGAAGGAGGTGGGAATAACGTATATAAAAGGACGTGGTTAAATTCCTTTGATGAAGGAATCGCAAGAGAAAACTGCGTGGATTCTCATGGATCGCATTTATTCTTCTTTACAGAAAAATTATTTGATACGTGCTGCTGAGGAATTGTCATTAGAAAATAACGTTAACTGATTGAATATTATAACAGAATTTGGCATATATGGAGCAATATTAGGCTATTGCTCCATATATGCCAAGTTCTGTTATAATACCCTAGTAAGCATTTACTTTTAAACGATCATATTATTTGCTGATAAATATATAGATGATATTAATAACATTCATATAATATTCTGCTCTTTCTTCTAGGGATAGTAATAAGATAATGCTAAATGAACAAACTAGTTGGACATATTCTAAGAACCAAAGCATCGAGCGAAGATGAAGGCAGGACAACAGGTGTTGGCACCCGTGACAGTCCCTATTTAATTAGCTGAAATGAGACATCTTTAGGAAAATAATTACAATTGAAATAAATAATTTAATTAAATTAATAATATAATTTATAAAATTATACACTAAATTTATTAATTATCTTTACTATAAATATTTTTTAATTGTATACAATGATATTATATACACATGTGGATATGGGATGTAACTTAATGGAAATTAAACAAATTTTTGGCATTAACACTCGTTTACGTATCTGCGACGTTTTCTAAGTAATTTTTAAACATTAGACTCTCTTATCATCATTAAATTTTAAATTTAAAGTATTGTAACGAGTAATAATATCTCAAAAATGCAATTTTTATTGATCATACAATATCAATAAGCAACATAATACAAAATACAGAGAAACTTTAACATTTACTGAGTATAAAAAAAATAACTTTAGTAATAATCTACAAATTTTATTAGGCATTTTATTTTACAGTGCATTATATTTTATAAAATTGTAAAAACGATATTGAATTTACCGTGCGTATTACAATAGATAATACACTAATAATATAATAGATAATTCATGTAAGAGAAATACGTAATGACATAAATATTGATGTATGTTGATATAAATCAAGCATGTACAAATTTCTTTATAGCCTGTAGCCCTGTATACTTATTATTACATAATTAGATTTCACCAAGCTTGAAACTGATGCAAATTTAAAAAAGGACATACCAATGACCACGAAACCAAATATATTTTACACAACAATATTTTGAATAGCCATATTTCATCATTTATTCAGAGTATAATAGCGCGTAGATTAGGAAATCTTCACGTTTGAAATAGAATATACATATAAGTAATACATATAAGTAATACAAATAAGTAATACATATAATAATCTATTTGATATCGTACAACGATTTATAAGTATATACATGTAGATATAATGTAATACTTATAAATACAGATATATAAATATTCATTGCATTTATAGGCACATTCACCAATAATTGATATTTTAATATTTATAATAATAAACATTAAAAGAAATTTTCTACCGTCACATAAAAAATTTGCTAACTAATAATTTTAATAATGTTTCACGCATTAACTTTTTAGATACCTTTTTATTATAATTGAATTACTTCAACTGGGAGAAATAAATCAATGACGCATCTTGCTTTTCTATCTCTTTGATATCCCTTTCCTCCGAGTATTGATTTGTCTACTTTTATCATTCTCCGTCGAGGCCTAAAAAGAATGCTGAATATTTAAGTCTGCGATAAATAATCGCAATATCTGTATAGTATGTAGGATAGTTGTGTAAATTATTTTTGCTTATAATCAATTGCATGCAATCATGTATATTCCGTGTGATTCACAACAATATAAATATGTTGCATACTGTAATCAGATAAATGTAGCTATATATACAACATAATCATAAAAAGTAATGTGTATCCAAGTGTAAAATTACTATTTACCTTTATACTTAAGAATATATTATCAACAGGATTAACGTATTCGTGCTGTCCAGGAGCCAATTCTGAAGATACCGAGTTGAGTGTTATCTCAACCTCGTCTCTTCGATCATACGACGGATTTTGGAAGCGAATATTGCTGTAACAATTATACAACACTGTACAATTATTTATAAATGCGAATAATATTTATATGTATTACTGTTAAAAATTATTTTCAATTCCTAAATCTAACACTGAAATAAATTTGGGACGTACCTAAGATCATTCGTTGATTTCAATTTAAATCTGTTTTTCTGATAATAGTAGTAAGCGTATAATAATAGAACATCAACTAGCAATACGATTATTGTTATGCTATAAACGCCACTTGCATTGTGTGTACTTTTGGATAGATTTCCAACAAGTTTCGGCTCACTACTCATCATGCAAGTACTATTGGATCTTACCGGTTTACCATCTGAACAAATGCACGTAGCATTGTCCTTTTTCAAAACGCACATATAATCGCAATATTCTTTGTCACAAGAATTTTCAGCTACCAAATAAATAAATTATTTAATTTAACTTTATAACTTTATCAAGATTAATTTACGTAATTTGACTAATTTGAGATTTTGATTTTGAGATTACTAGTTCTAAAATATTACATTATACACCAATTGACAGATTGTCTGGAGATATATATGAAGAATGGTGAAGTGACTATGAAAATTATTCGTGCCTAAATTAAACGTGTCGCAAAATTGTTTACCGTACAGGTTACAAATTTGTAGTTGAGCCTTTCTATTCACCCAATAAAGTTTCTGTTTATAAATACTGATAGCTATCGCTTGCATCTAAAAGAAGAGAAAAAACATTGCTTCGTTATTGAAAAGAATACAATTTATCCACGCAAAGTGCTTGCACTTTTCTACATCTTAATGTGTCTTTTTGTTATAAAAAGGACTAATAATGAACGTACATCTATACTTAAAAACGTGCTACGTTGGCTTCCATCCAAATTAGATGATTCAATGGTTTTATTGAGATCGTCCGACCAATATAATTAAATCTTATATAATCAATTGCCATCCCGGTCACAAATTTTGTAGTAGAACCGATAATCTTCATGTCGGCGCCCATCAAATCTGTCCGATATATGTTATATATCCGATATATGTGGAACATAATTTTGTTTGCTTGTCCATTTGGCAAGTCAGTTGAGACTAGAATAGCCATCTACAATGTCAAAAGTTTGATTTTGAATTCTGTAGAATTCTGACGACAGTGACATGTCCATCAGATTGACAAGTCTATTACAAAGCGAACGAAAATAAAGTAAAAAAACTCCAAGCGGAATGAAAAAGATACCTATTAACAGCATCAACTAAAAGGAACTCTATTTTCTTCTTATCTTTTATCTCGATCAACATCACACATCTTTGTTACTCCAAATTGCATACCTTTAATTAATTAAATGAATATTTAAATCAGAGTATTCTCCTGTTACGTGACTTGATGTTGAAAAGAAATATGTATACCTTAATCGTATCTGACAGATGGCTGTTATCGTAGACATAGACATGGTCAGTAATCCAATCGACCACGAGAGCGTGAGAACGCTCGACAATTGTAAATGCGGTTATTTCCTTTGTTTTAATGTTGAATTTGTTAACCGTATTCACCTGCAATTATTTCTTTCCTCAATATTTAATTGGATAATGCAACAGTCTTTTGAAAGACGCCAAGTTTTTCATTTTTGTGGAATCTCCTGGGGGTCTTTATATCCTCTAAACATTGCAAATTAATAATTATCTAAATACATTAGATTGAAACAATGAGACTAACTGTTACTCCAATAGACAGAGCGGCTGACTGCGTTCACGTCGAGACCTCCGGATTCAATTATACTCATTTTCGATAATGAGAAGATCTTATCTGAGTAAAAATTAGACGAGATCATCCTAATATCATTATTAGTAACTGTAATGAATTCCATTCCCGGTCCTAAATAATTATTAATAATGTGTATTGCTTTTAGATAACATGCAGAAACATTTAATTGAGATCACTTACCGACAGCTTTGCAAGAAACTTTGTCGTTACGGATAATATATCCCTCGTAGCACGAACACACGTAAGAGCTCTCAGTATTGTGATAAATTTGCGAGCAAACGTCGTCTTTGCATTTGTTTATGTCCTCGCAAGAAATCGCATCGGCAGCTAAACGATATCCATCTTGACAATCGCAAACTGCACCTTTTGGTGTTTTGTAACACATACCTTTACAAACATTGTCCTCCGCACAAGCAATTTCTTCACAAAAAATCAATATCCATGAATAGCGCAATGGTTAGATTTTCTGGGATTCTATCTCTTTTATTAAATTCACCTCGTATTTCAATCATAATAATCATATAAATCATAATCAATCGTATAAAAATCATCAATGTAGAATATTTTATAAATTTATGTGAAGAAAAGATCGATTTCCGTGAGTTCTACGAAAGAAAAAACACTTTAGATACTTCACTAAACTCGTCGGAATTTTTGACGGGAGAGATAATTTTAACGGCGCAAAAAAGATTAACTGCATTATATACATATTGCATTTCCCGTCTTCATCGCTACCGTCTGGGCAATCTTGAATACCGTTGCACGTTTTGTAGTATGGCAGACAAGTGCCGTTAGAACATTTGAATTCATTACATTTGTCATATTCCTTGATGATGTTTTTACCACCGTCGCAATTGTTCTCATCCGAATTATCGTTGCAATCTTCGCGATTATCGCATACCCAATCCTTCGGAATGCACTTTCCATTGTCGCAGGTAAATTCATAGTCGAAGCAAGATGAACAATTGTGCTCGTCATCGTGTTTTGGACATTCATTTACGCCGTTGCATCTGAAAGAGAAGAAATTTATAAACACATCACATTCTTATGATTAAAATTATTCATTTCTTCTAAACGCCTATGGCTATCTGCTTGCGTAGTGAATTCCGCAATTAAAAGAAATTTTGACGTAAAGCGAATTTATCTAAAGTAATATTTTTCGACGTGTTCGTGCGTATTGATTACCGATTACCATTATATTTTAAAACGATCAACTCACTTTACTTTTTTTGAAAGACATACATCAGAGTCAAGACACTGATATTCGTCCGCTGTGCAATTAACCAAATAATTTGATTTCGTATCTGAGCAATTCGACTCGTCGCTGCCATCGTGACAATCATTGGTGCCGTCGCACTTCAACGAAGAAGATATACAATTTCTATTCTCGCATCGAAATGCCTCGAGTTTACACGCATCTGGCTTACACGTTTTAGGTGCTTCATTGTCTTCGTCGTTGCAATCGGGCTTAAGTACAAACACGATTACATAAAAAGACGCATTAAATTATTGAGAATAGAGAAATAAATCAAAAAGCTCAGATATTCTAATTTGTGAAAAATAAATCGAGATGCAATTGCTTGAAACGTATATTTTCATTCATTTCGTTCTGGCAACTTTTTTGCAAAACTACACTCTAAATTAACAACAGTCATTAACGTTTTTACAGCATAAAAAACATGTAAACATAGTGAATACACTAACTTAAATATAAAGTGTCTTTAATAAAATTGCTACCTACATTGCCGTCACATAAGAACATCTTCGAAATGTGAGTCGAGATAAAGAAATAGACCTAAAAGGAATCTACATTTGGCGTGAATGAACGAATGATTGTACACGAGTTTAGACGTTGATTCAGAGAGCATTCGAAGAAAGATCATTATGTGTTCTCTCGTTAAGATATTTCATTCAATGCTCGTAAGCATTGAATGTAATTAGATGTAATTATTGGATAAGATAAAACAAAAAAAAAATATAAATGAAAAAAGTATAATTAAAAAACAAAACTTAAAAAAAAACGCGTCTGCTTCCAACTGCTGCCGGAAGTAAAGAAATGCACATAACATCGCAGAAATATCTAAAAATTGAATATAAAAATAAAAACTAAAATTAAAAATTACAATCTATAAGATGTGTTTCTGTATAAAGCATAGAGATCATATACATATATGTATATACACACATATATTAGAATTGCTTTTAAAAGTATGAAATAAAATGAAATTTAAATAATAAGAATTTAAAAAAACAAACTAAATAAAAAATTAAAAAAATTTAAAAACTTAAAAATAATTTAAAAAATAAAAAAATATAATCTAAAGCGAGTATAATAAATACTTAAATGTGTTTCCTTTTATTTCTAGCACATAAAAGTTAATTAAAGAATTATTTTTATCTTATGTAATGAAATACTTGATATTTTTTAAGCTATAATTAATCACACAATAAAAATCAGCAGTCGGAAGAGGCTACATATGTTAGATTTAATTCTCAATTATATGTACCTTAAAATATT